TAAGAGTTAAAATTGGTTGGTTTGGATTGAAATTCATTAAAACCGACTATTTTGATTCTTGTTTCGGATTGGAGTCGAAACCGACCCAAACTAAACCGCGTCTAGACCTATATACATCTATTGCACCACTTGAGAAGACGATATAGTACAATAATCTATAATCCTTTCTTCCTCATCAGGTCTGCTTTACCAAATATGTTGTAATAGAACAATTAACGAAATATAAAATATAGAATGAATAACAGACTTCATAAGATTGTAGATCTATGTGCTAATTTATGGTTTGAAATCTATGTGCCTCGAACAATTGAATGGGCCTAAGTGCTATGTTTTCAAAGGTTGAACCGCAAATCCAATTTTTCGCTATAAGAAAATATGTACCACAAGTTTTATTTACACGTATAATGTTTGTGAACACTTAGAAAAATCTTTCCTTGCTGAATTTTCTTCCGACATATTGAGGATGACAAAAAATTGACAACTATGATGTGATTGAAGTTGAAGAAAATTAAATAAAAATACAAGAGTAAATCTTTGTTGGATAAAATTTAATTGCTTAATATATTTAGCATTTAATTGTGGTCTAGTGATTTTTCCCAAGTTGAAATATTTAAATAACTATAGTAATATAATACACTTTTCTCCATTAATTCATTTGATATATTTATTTAAAATATTATTGAATTTCATGTTGGATTGTTATAAACTAGACTATTTCATATGGACTTCTTTCAATGATTAATATCAAAATAATAGTAACTTAAATAATCTCCTAATTGACAATAATCATAGGTAAAGATTCAATTGAAACAATACGAAATTTTCAATACTTAATGACTAGTTGATTCGAGTGACTTTGTATAGTAATTGAGGCCCATGAATAGATGTTTATGAAGACCACGTGTTGTAGCCCATTGTGGAAATTACTGTGGTGTATACTTACATATAGCAATCTAATGTGAGCATCTTCCCGCATTATTTAATTGATTTGTCAAACTGAAATAATCGTTTATCGCTACAAACAAAATATGTCAAGTTATGCTATTCTAGCCTTTGTGCTAGAGACTGTTCACAAATATGAAATGAATATGAGTCACTTTTTCGGTAACCCTAGGTGAGAGTCGTTGAACCACCTTATCTAATACTTTATTCTATTAGAGGGGATATAAGTTTAATTGTGTAAATTTAAAAATTGCTTTGTCTTTTCACAGATTGATCGGAAAAAATTTCTATTCTTCTCTTTCCACAGCAAGTTGCTTTGTCTTTTCACATCAAGTTGGAAGACTATATTTATACTGTCGTTACACTAATTAATAAGACAATGGTGAATTCAATGATAAAGACTTTAATGTGAACAACTTGAATAAATGTATAATTGAATAAATGTGAACCAAATTTTACAAAGAATCTTCAGATAAAACAAGAGCTACATTGTGAAGTCAAGTCTTTTTGTTTTTTCGATGCATTATTGCAGAATTGTATGGTCTTTCTAAAAATTATTCCATTTCTACTGAATCAAACATAAAAGAAAATGGACAAGTGAATTGTGAATTGAAATGAATAGTTAATTCACAGATTACAATTTTGATTTCAATGACCTAAAC